CACAGTTGTAACTTTCATCATAGTTCTCAAAGCAGCCCGGTGAGGTCAGCTCACAAACAGCTTAAGGAGTAAAACTAGAAATTGGTGGTAGTAGGATCAGGCTACATAACAGCCTCTCCAAAGAATATGAAGTAACAGAAGGAAAATGTGCTGGCAACATGCCAAGAGACTAGATGGAATATAGCTTTGAGCAACAAATACCCAGAGCTTACAGTGTACAGCAATTCATCATCTCTTACTCTACAAGCTTGATTTTCCTTGTTTTAAATCCAAAATAGCCATATATAACAGGTATTTAACTCTACTAAATTCTCCAGATTTGTGACTTGAAAGGCACGGGGCTTGCAATGATTTGGTAAACTAAATACATACCCTATAAAAAAAAATGACTTTCATCCTATGTGAAGATGAGAAAGGTAAAACAGAGACAATTATATTGATATTGTTCTGCATAGAATAGCCTTTATTCTCCAAGGGCTATACTGCCCTCAGTTTAGTTTCAAAGGCTTGGATTTTTCTATATTGTCAATTCTGACTCAATATCTCTGCAACTGGTTGGTATTTAGAATTAGTCAACTTTCTCAACAATTTAATAAAGAATTAATCCTGTCAGATCAAATGACATAATTTTGTTAAAAATTCCTCTGACATTAGTCAAAATGTTACTTTTATAATTTCATCTTTAGTGAATCATAATATTAAAACAATAAGAAACTCTAATTCTAAATCTGTCACTTTCTAAACATATATTCTTTTTAAAAAGCCAAAAGAAAATGCAGTTATTTTAGGCAAAAGAATCTTATTCAACTCAAATCAACACATATTTAACATCTAGTTTGTGCCAGACCTTATGCTGAGAACTAAAGAAACAAAGATAAATATGTATGTACATAGTCTCACAGAACTGACAATCTAGTTGGGGAAACTAGCCGGTGTAGCTCAGTGGTTGAGCATCGACCTATGAACCAGGAAGTCACAGTTCAATTCCCAGTTAGGGCATATGCCAGGATTGCAGGAAGTGGCCAATTATCTTTCTCTCATCACTGATATTTCTCTCTCTCTCTCTCTCTCTCCTCTCTCTCTCCCTCTCTCTCTCTCTCTCTCTCTCTCTTCTCTCTCTCTCTCTCTCTCCCCCCCTTTCCCTTCCTCTCTGAAATCAATAAAAATCAATTAGCCCAGCAGGTATAGCTCAATGGTAAAGCAGTCAACCCATGCACCAAGAGGTGGCTGATTCAATTCCCCATCAAGGCACTTACCCAGGGTAGTGGGCTTATTTCTCTCTCATCGATGTTTTTATCGCTCTCTCCCTCTCCCTTCCTTGCTCTCTAAAATCAATACTAATGAAAACATTTTTTTAAATCAATCAATAAAATAAATCGCAATCTCTAACATTCTGTGTATGTGTGCGTTCTAAAGTAGTTATAGGAACAAAAGCCCTGGTACCACCCCAGATATGTAATTAAGTCTGCCAGAAAGGAAAAAATCTTCAGAAAATCTAAGTTATATCTTAAAGGATAAGGATTTCACAAGGGAAAGTCGAGTATTGCAGGCCAAGGACAGAATGAGCAAAAACAAGAAATCACAAAACATGGCATGTGTGAGGAAGTCCATGTGGCAAGACTAAGAATAACAGTTTCTGATTCATATGCTACTACATGACAGGCATCACTAATCAATTAAAACATGTTTAAAGTCTATATGAGACTCAAACTCCTTCTCAACAGATAAATCAAAACCAATGAGAGGAATGAAATCCATGTGATGAAATTTACGAGCTATCCTGAGCCTAGGAATAGAAAATATTGAGACTTGAGACTAGAAGGATAAATAAAGAACAGATTGTGAATGTCTATGATACTAGGCTAAGAAGTTTAAATTTTATCCGTGGACAAGAGAGGATGAACAAAGGATTTTATGAAGAAAACTGGCGTGATCAATTCTGGCAGATGTGTAAACAACGCATTTGGACAGATAGGAAAAAGGCATAAAGAATAATTAATATGCTATTGCAATCGTCTAGAAAAGATTAATGAGGCCTGAATTTCAGCGATGGCAAAAATCTACTGCAGGTTCTAAAACAAAACAAAAAAATTAGAGTGTTTTAGATTTTGGAATCCATAATTTCAAAACAATTTGAGAAAAATTAGTATTCTATTCAGAATTCCCAAATAATACCCAAAAAGGAAAAGATAAGACAACATAAGGTAAAAACTAGAATTAAAGAAATGAATCACAATGATACTCAAGATTACCCAAGACTATAAATTCAGAAATAGATATTTCAGGTTTAGCATCAAGAAAGAGAACGTCCTCATGACCAGACTAATACTCAGCAAGTCTTTTCTTCCTGAGGGCACTAATATTCTAGCCAACCAACAAACACTAGTCACCTTACATGCCCCTACAATGCAGGGTCAAGTGCACACTCCCAGTGAGATGCAGAAAGCATGAAAGTCAAATTTAAAACCAATGTCTGAAACCATATAGGAGTTCCACTTTATCCAAACATTTGAAACTACATATTTCTTTTTAAAAGCATAAGTAATATAAAACAAATCTTCTGGAAATATTACTGTCCTACCATTAACTAATTCATATCCCAACCTTTATACTCTAAGATTTTTTTAAAAATATATTTTATTGATTTTATTACAGAGAGAAAGGGAGAGGGATAGAGAGCTAGAAATGTCAATGAGAGAGAAACATCGACCAGCTGCCTCCTGCACAACCCCCACTGGGGATGTGCCTGCAACCAAATGTGTATGCCCTTGACCAGAATCGAACCTGGGACCCTTCAGCCCACAGACCGACGCTCTATCCACTGAGCCAAACCAGTTTCGGCAAACTCTAAGATTCTTTATGTGGAATGCAACCTATTTGTAGCACTTTGAGCAGTATGCAAAAAAAAAAAAAAAAAAAAAAAAAAAAAACTCTTATATTACTTCTGCAAAATGTTTAATAAATGAAATTATTATAATTAAAAATAAAAGCTTCGCCGGGACCAGTTTGGCTCAGTGGATAGAGCATCGGCCTGCGAACTGAAAGGTCCCGGGTTCGATTTCGGTTAAGGGCATGTACCTTGGTTGCAGGCACATCCCCAGTAGGGGGTGTGCAGGAGGCAGCTGATCGATGATTCTCTCATCGATGTTTCTAACTCTCTATCCCTCTCTCTTCCTCTCTGTGAAAAATCAATAAAATATATTTTTAAAAAATAAAAATAAATAAATAAATAAAAGCTTCATTGTAACTCAAAGGCCAAAGATAGTCAAAGAGTTTTTCTATTTTGGAAAAAGATTCTTTAGCTGTTGCAAACAGACTAATACAGTGATGAAAAATCCAAGGACAACATGTTAACAACCATGCTAGAAAAGCTAGCATTACTGTTTTAAGATCTAAGGATATTCACATTAAGGATAAAATTATCTTGTCATGAATGCCAACAATTCACTTCATATTACATAGACACATATTCAAGGACACTACTTTGTTCTCAACCCAATTCTTTTGTGTCCCAATAATAAACTCTCAAATTGGGATTCTCTTCCTCTTAAAACAAGCTAAAATGACAAATATGAACTCCGGAGACAAAATTTATTTGTGACATATTATTTATTCTGATCAAGCAAATCTAATGAACAGTTTATCATAACCTATCTCTTTTCCAGAAAGATATGGATTAGCTAGTCAGGAGCAGGGTCTATTTCTCATGATGTCATTCCAAAGCCACTGCTAAATGTTACACATGTGATGCTTCCTTCAAATCAATCACAAAATAAGTCATCCCAAGACTGAGGTCAAATTCCATTCCAACTAAAAGCTCTCCAAACTTAAAGTAATGGTCCACTAACTAAGTAATAGTCAAGACTAAATTCCAGAAGAACCCTCCTCCTGTATCCCAACCCCCAAAACAGTCCTCTCCTTTTAGCTCATTGTAATGGAATGTGACCTGCAGTTAAGGTCCATTCCACAACAATTTCCATTCCTTACTTATTGCTCAGAGAACAGATCTACTCTCTCTCATAAAGGTAATATTTGTTTTAAAAGAAAAAAGTGAAGTGCTATTAGATGTCAATCACATAACGATAAGAACAAACAAAACATAAATTGTTTACTAGATTTCTCATGTATGACAAAACAAGTGCATATAAATAACAACTGAATATTTAAGTTAATGTTTTTATTTTAGGACACTGGTCAGACATCTAAAAGATGATTTGCATGACTCCTCACAAATTAGGTAGGGGAGGGGAAGTTAAAACTACAACTACTTAAATAAATCTTCACACACAAAAATACTATGAACATCTTTTCATGACAAATCATATTTTTATCAATGAAGTTACACACTTTTAAGCATCCAATGTAGAGAGAGGAGGGAAATATTTCAGAAATGTACTTCAAAGTCTAAAATTAAACACATCTGGCCCCATTTCTCCCTTCCCTCTCCCAGGCACAGTAGCTTTACCTTTCTCTCCTAAGCTTCAAGAGCCTTTCTTCTGCCTCTGTATCTTGTTTCCTGAGCCCATTTCTCCTACAGCTCACTTCTCTACCTCTATGATTTTCTAAATAAACTTCCTCTTTTTCTTTTTTTAATATATTTTATTGATTTTTCACAGAGAGAAAGGGAGAGGGATAGAGAATTAGAAACATCAATGAGAGAGAAACATCGACCAGCTGCCTCCTGCACACCCCCTATCAGGGATGTGCCCACAACCAATGTACATGCCCTTGACCGGAATCGAACCTGGGACCCTTCAGTCCTCAGACCAACACTCTATCCACTGAGCCAAACTGGTTTCGGCAATAAACTTACTCTTACAATTTGAAGGGGAAAAAATTAAATTCAACACATCTATCTGGGACTCAGTTTCTCATTTTTTAAAAATGAGGTATTAGAGCTACTGTGAAACTTTAACCTGTTTTAAAATGAACAACTTTTATGATTTATTTCAGACAAAACATATCCCAAGATGACCCCCTTAAAGATATATTTTACTTACATTCTTCCTACACCTTCATACATGTTAGTCTCGTCTACCAAAGTCATAATCTCTGTATCTGTAAGATGGGCATGCTTTTTCGTTCTGTTTAGCTGTTCAATCTGTATGTCTGCAAGCTTCACCTTCTGTTGAGTGTCAATAACTTTCGCTTGAAGCTCTGTGAAGGCCTAATAAAAACAAATCCTTGATTTAGTAGGCAAACTATTTTATAGGAAACATTTAAGTCAAATCCAAATATGTTCAAATAAAGCATGCTAACCAGAGGCAGAGCTGTGAAATTTACTAAACCAAACAGCAATAAAAGTTAGTATAATTGTAATCAGTCAAGCCACCAGGTTAACTACTGAATTTACCCTGTCCTCAGAATATGGAATCTTTTTGAAGCAGAAATAAATGCACATTAAATAGTGGCCATACCAAGTAGCAGGTGCTCTCAAGGAGTAATAAAAGTAATAAATGTAAAAGTCAGAGGATGAAACCCAGAGATCCAAAACAAGAACCATAAATGGAACAACTCCCTACATTTGTATTACTCAACTAGGTTTCAAAGCATTTTCCCACATTTGTTTCAAATATTAATATAGGCATATCAATAAAATGAGAACAATGAGGGATATAATAAAAACCTCATTTACTCCTCTCAAATCCTATGAGTTAGGGTGGCAGTTTCATCCTAACAGTTTATAAATTAAGTAAATGTGACAGTTAGGTGGCTTGCAAAGGACTGAACAACTATCTGGAGGAAATGCAGGTACTTGAATCCATTTCTTCTGACCTCCAGTTCAGGAATTTTTTTTATTCTATTGTCTACAGTAATATCCTGAATATAAATATTTTTAAGAGAAAGAAAAAAACACATTGGTATTAGAATCGCATCATGATCTTCATATGCATAGACCAAGCCAACTTTGACCCTTATGTACACTTCACTCAAAGATAAACACAGTTCATGAATGCTCTTGTTGAAGTGCCTGGAATGACTGTCACAAGCTGTCAAATTTATACCTTAACAATAACATTTGTGACTGCGATACATTGCAAAGGCTACTACTTAGCTTTTATTCTGACTTGATTCTCACCTACTATTGTAGAAAGGTTTCAAAATATTTATTTGGGAGGAAGAGGGGAGCCTGAAATTTCCTATTAGTCTCCAGGCAATAATAATAATAATTTATATTAGAAGTAAAAAATTTTAAACGTGTCTTTAGTTAATTTAATTGATTGTCAAAACTATCCAACCTAAGGCTGAAATCATTTTCTTAGTTTGCATTCATTGCCCACAGGTTTCTTAGCAACAAATTCAAATACTGGGAGGTGAGTTTTTCACAGCTGTATGCTATTGCTAGCTCTTTTACTAAACTCTGGCTTAAATTTGAATCTTTAACATAATAAAAAAAAAAAAGGTAAACTTTTAAGATGCTTTAAGCATTCTTAAAATGAATTTTGTTTTGCATTCAAAATTACAGGTATTACCTGATTGGTACACAGTTTGCTAAGGAAACTAGTATATTGCTAAAGCTGAGATACTACAGCATAAGAGAATACCACCTAAGGGCCAAATTTACGTTTCAAAACAAGAATGACAAAAAGATACACACATAAATCCTCACAGCAGTAACAACTTCAATGTTTAGGATCTACAGCTATTTCAGCTGTCCTATTGCTTATGCACAGATTGACCAGAAGGCAGTCTTAAGTAAAATTTGTTTTTTTCTCAAGAACTTTAATAGCCAAAAGGTGTGGAGTAAGGCAGGGGATACTGGATTTGACAGGTTTAAAGTAGATGAAGCCTAGGATTCTTTTCAATCCCCATCCCCCTCCTACACTCCTTCTACACCCCCAAAAAATATATGATTTGGGATCAGTAGAGATGTTAGAATCCTGACAACTGGTGGTGAAAACGTTTCTGGATGGCAATACATTTATAAGCAATTGAAGAGGTAAACCTAATTTCTTCCGATATCAATTTTATTTAGAAAACCTCACGGGACTTCTTCCCTCGACAACTCCTGCAAAAACTGTGGGGGGAGGGGAGCCAAAGCCCTGAGATGAGCATTGCCATAAGCATATATGACTCTGAACCGTAGTGCAGCCTTCCCGAGTTTGGGGTGGAATAAGAGGCCTAAAAGCACAGGCCGGAACAAGGGACGACAGGACAAGCCAGTTATCCGCCGCCCAGACTTAACCAAACCCAGCCCAGCCGCCTCTTCTCCAGCAAAAGCCGCTCGCCCCCCACGCCAACCTAACGAGACCCGCTCGTGAGGATTCTGGGGTATCGCCCCCCAGTTCCCCGGGGCCTCTTTCCTCCCGCAAGACTCAAGTCTCCTCCATATTCTTGTCCACAGTTCCCTTAGCTACCAAAGAGAAGCCTCAGCCACCTCGAGACGCTTTTTTACCTTCTTCAACTCCAGGTCCACGGGCGCCGCCATCTTGGCTCACTCTGCGCCTGCGCGGTGGAGAAAGCCGGAAGGGGTGGGGGGGAAGGGCGCGCCGCGGAGGTTTGAGTAGTTCCCTCCTTCCTTCTGCGCCTGCGCCGCAGGAGTAGGGCGAGGCGGGCTTCTTCCTTTCTTCCCAGATTGTGGTTCAGTCTGCGTACCCCATGTGACCTACCAGGCCTGGCCTGCTTCTCCACATCCTTCCAGACACAACACCACATGCAGATTTGTGTATGGTTCTAAGCATTTTAGCAAATGGCTTAGTTTGTGCTACTAAGTTGAGATGTACGTAGATCAGGCCAAACCTCTTCAGTCATTCAGCTGTCAGGGATGAGAAAAAAAAAAAAAAAGTCAGCCTGAGCCTCAGGTATGCCAGTTTGGAGAAAACCGGAATGCTACTGGAGTGTTCTTCTGGAGAAGTTATTTCTCCGGACCTCTCCTGAAGACCTTTTGGCACAGTGGTTCTCAAGAGAGGCCAAATAAGTTTGTTTAAATAGATATACATATTCATTCCCTGGCCCTTATCCCAAACTTATTTACTTAGAATCTTTGAGTTTGGGGCCCAGAGTCTCACACTTTTGCAAACAGCCTTTATGACCTGATGCAAGTCATCTGCAGACCACCTTTTGAGAATTGGCTGTAAACAGCCAACATTTGAACAAGAAGGATGGATAGAAATTGGACTTTTAGAAATGGAAGAAATGGATATTTTACCTACTCTAAAAACTTATGAGGGAGGGTAAAGGGCGGAAATTTGGAACCAGCCAGATCTGGATTAAAGGTTTGGTCTACCTTAACCATAAGTCTGTCTGGTTCCATTTACTGTGTGGCAGTAGAGTTTTTCTTCTCTTTTAATTTTAGAATAACAGCCAAAACCGGTTTGGCTCAGTGGATAGAGTGTCAGCCTGTGGACTGAAAGGCCCCAGGTTCGATTCCAGTCAAGGGCATGTACATTGGTTGCAGGCACATCCCTAGTGAAGGGTGTGCAAGAGGCAGCTGGTCGATGTTTCTCTCTCATTGATGTTTCTAGCTCTCTATCTCTCTCCTTTCCTCTCTGTAAAAAAAAAAAAAAAAAAAAAAAAAAAAAAAAAAAAAAAAAAATCAATAAAATATATTTTTAAAAATAATAATAATTTTAGAATAATAATATTGACATAACAGGGTTATCACCTGAGGTGTTTTGGCTGTGAATTCTTCCTCTGGGAGCATTTGCTATTCTTTCTTATGACAGTTGATTTTCTCATATGACCTAAATTTTTGTCTAAAAACCTATCTTCAGTGTCTATCATGTCCTGGGCTGTATAAACATCCCAAGGTTAGGTTCACATTCACGTCTACCACAACCCTGTGAGATTCATGGTTCCAGACCAGTTCTTACATTAATTTTTGATAACACATGAGTGAAGCATATTTGGGGGAAAATAAAACTTTCTCTGACCATAAAGTTGGCAGAATGTGATATACATTTATGGACTGGAAGCCACTATATTACTTTTTCCATATCTCTTTTTTTAAAATATATATTTTATTGATTTTTTACAGAGAGGAAAGGAGAGGGATAGAGAGTTAGAAACATACATTAGCTGCCTCCTACACACCCCCCACCGGGAATGTGCACATGCCCTTAACTGGAATCGAACCCTCAGTCCGCAGGCTGACTCTCTATCCATTGAGCCAAACTGGTCTTAGCAGAGAAATTAAGTCTTACGATATAGCCTGCGTGCAGTCTCAAAGCCACTCTGTAGGAATAATAAGAATAATCCATCCTCCCTATAAATAGACCATATAATTGAGAATATGGGTCAGAGACCCAAAATAGCAATGAATGAAACAATATAGAAGCTTATTTCTCTTTGTCACAATGAACCAGGCATAAGCAGTGTAGGGTAAGTATCTCAGTTCCACAATGCCAAGTTCCCCACCCCTTCTATCTTATCTATGTGTTCCAAAATGACTCTTCATCGGCATGTCTGCAGCCTAGCTAGAAAGACGGACAAAAGTAAGGGCAAGCTCACTTCTCTTTAAAGGCATGTCCTAGAAGTTGTAATAGTTCTGTTGATATCACATTGGCCCAAAAAGAATCACATGGCCATTCCTGGCTGCAAGAAAGGCTGGGAAGTGTAATTTTTATAGGCAACTATGTGTCCAGTTAAACACCAGGAATTCAATTATGAAAAGAGAATAGAAAACAGTTATTGTGGGGGAATGCGCAGTTTCTGACGTCACAGCTTTTCAGCTTACAAAGTCATTTGATTTTCACAACTTTAAAGATAGATAGACTCTGAAGCATCATTCATTCAGTTTGAGAGGAAGTTTAGAAGAATGGTTAAGAGTATAAGCTTTGGCCGTAACTGGTTTGGCTTAGTGGGTAGAGCTTCAGCTTGCAGACTGAAGGATTCCAGGATCCATTCCGGTCAAGGACATGTACCTTGGTTGCCGGCACATCCCCAGTGGGGAATATGTAGGAAGCAGCTGATCAATGTTTCTCTCTCATTGATGTTTCGTCTAACCTCTCCTTTCCTCTCTGTGAAAAAAAAATTTATAAAATATAATTTTAAAAAAGTTGTAGAAGCTTTGGAGTCTGACATCCTAGTCAAATCCTATTTCCGCCAAGGATGTCAGGTTCCCAGAAAATTACTTAAATGTAAAATAGACACAATAATAGTACCAATCTCATAGGTTGTTATGAGGCTTAAATGTGATAATGCATGCAAAGTGCCTAATATAGTTGTACCTAATCAACATTATGTGTCAAGTATGGTGAACCTACAGATAAACAAAAGAGCAGTTCACAGTACAGTGGAAGATTCAATAGAGAGTATCATAGAATATGAAAATTCTGCTAGAGAGGAAGTGATCGCATGAGATTGGAGAACACAGAGGAGAGGGCTCCTAAATCAAGAGTTTTGTAGGGAAAATGGGAGTTCACTGGAAGGAAGCGAAAAAGGATATTCCTGGAAGAGAGACAAAAACACCAAGGTGAGAGCCTGGTGTCTTCAGGGAAACACAAGCTGTTTGGTATGGCTGAAGCACAGAAGCATGGTAACCACTCAGAGAAAGGGACAGAGATAGATGAGGGCCAGTGGTGGAGAACCTTCCAGGTCAAGCTCAAGAGATTGGGTTTTATCCTGTGGTCACTGAGTGCAATGAGTGTTGTAAGCAGGAGAGTGACTAGTCACATTTACACTCCAGAAGTTACCGTGGCTGTTTCATGTGAAGTGATCCCCAAAAGGCAAAGGGAAATCAGAATTAGAGCAGTCATCTAGACTCTGAGGGATTAAACCTAAAGTAACGGAAGAAGAGAGCCCAGAGATTATCTGCTCTTCAAAATTCCTGTCCTTTTCTCTCCCTCTCTCTTTCTCTCTCTCTCTCTCTCTCTCTCTCTCTCTCTCTCTCTCTCTCTCTGTTAATCCTCACCCAAGGATATTTTTAATTGATTAATATATATTTTTTATATATTTTTTAACTGTTTCAGAAAGGAAGGATTAATATATATATATATATATATATATATATATATATATATATATATAAACTGTTTCAGAGAGGAAGGGAAAGGGAGAGAGAAACAGAAACATCAATGATAAAAATCATTGATCAGCTGCCTCCTACATGCCTGCTACTAGGGATGAAGCCCACAATTCAGGCATGTGCCCTGACTGGGAATTGGACCTGTGACCTCTTGGTTCATGGGTCAACATTCAACCACAGAGCGACACCAGTGAAGCGCCATTAATTTTTTAAGAGACAGTGGAAGGGAGGGGGAGAGATAGAGAGAAATATCCTGTGAGAGAGTTACATCAATTGTTTGCCACTGTCTCCTCCCCAAACCCCCCCATACACACACACACACACACACACACATATGCTCTGACCATGGCCAGGATCAGTATTGAGCCTGCAACTGAGGCACATGCTCTTGACTAGTGACCTTTTAGTACATGAGCCAACGCTCTAACCACTGAGCAACCAGCTAGTGTGAGCAAGTGCTCTCTTAATTCTGCCTTTTCTCAGCTGCTTGTCATCACTCAAATAGCTTCTTTGATAGCATTTCTATAAATGATTGACCAGATATCATGATTCAACCAAGACTATAGCAGTTTTTGTACTGAAAGTTTTGTGTTCTGGGAAATCCCTCAGTCCTGGGCAGGCTGGGATAGTTGGTCACCAACCTGTGGAGCCTTATAGGGAGTCAGTGTAGTGCCTAGAGGCAGATTGCCTGAATTCAGATCTTAGTCCCTTCATGTATCAGGTGTATGGCTGAAGCAAGTGACTACTGTAGCTCATTTTTCCCACATGAAAAATGGGGATGATGCAGTATAGTAACTACCTCACAGGGTCACTGTGAGGATTAAATAACAGATACTATTTAGAATAGTGCCTGGAACATTGTGTTTTCTGTGAGCATTTTGAAATTCTAGCTATTATAAACCGATTGCCTTCTGGTTTATTTCACTTTGTCTCACACATCCCCTTGCTCTGTCATCCTTTCTGGATGTCTCCAGACCTTTCACTTCAAGCTCTCAGTCATCCCACCAAAGGCAAGGAAAAGATATGTAACACAGGAAACTCTCTGGCCTGTGGGTAGCCTCAGAGAGTATTAAATTGAATTAAACAAGATTGAAGGTTTTTAAGACTTCCTAATAACAGGGACATCTGCACCTGTATCCTTTGAAAACAAATTCTGTACAACTGCCTGCCTTGGAGGATGGGATGAGGTGAGGCATTTGTAAGGCTTGCATGACAGTTCTTAGAGGGCCTCAGGGACAGGGATGGGGACTGAGCCTTCCCAAGTGACACATTTGCCAAGAAACACTGAGGTAGCTCTTCTGGCTGACAAAGTAAGATTTGGGGCTGGGACCTTCCTAGGAGGGAAAGGGGGCTTAGTTGTACCTACCCAATGAAATAGTCATTGGAAACTATGTGAGGAGAGGAAGTGAGTCGTAGACAGGAATTGCTGGTGGCTTTTCCCAGGCACCTTGCCACATCTGATTCAATATGTTTATGAAAAGTCCAAAGAAAGTGAATATAAGTCAGTTAGATGATTTAAGCCTTTGTAAGAGATGAAGCTGGGTAACAGAGCATAACAAAGGCTGAGTTATTTATGCCAT